AGGCAAGTATTGAGAGATTTGAAAGAGCTAAGGTTTGGGCTTATCTTTAAGTTTGATTGAGTCTAAGAAGTTAAGAGGGTTCACATTAAAATTAACAAATTTGTCTGAATTTAGCCTGCCTAAAAACTTAGTAGCATGACTAGTAGGAATAAAAAGAGTGAATTTGAAAAATAGAGTATATTGAAGAGGAAATAGTTGGAAGGTTGCATTGCCAATATGTAATTATTATAAAGCTAGAGTTTGTAGATTGGTGATGAGCTTTGCCAATAATAGCTTGGTTATAGTAAAAAGTTAAGAGCCAAGGCTTGGAATATTTGTGAAAATAGTCTATACAGTAGCTATAGTAGTTAGTAGATAATAGATTAAGCTGCCTAGAAATGAGGTAGTTGTATAAAAAATTAAAGATAGAATTTTTAAAAAATATGAACTATTGGGAATTTTCTTTTTAGAAATTTTGTTAAATCTTGAAGATATATATTTTTAGTCTAGAAAGTAGGAGTTATTAGTAGAAGTAGTTGATTTAAGAAAAGAATATATGGTGCCAAAGTTGTTTTTTGAAGGTAGAGTATTTGGGTGTGCTGATAGTATAGATTCTAATATAATAGATTCTTTGTGAATTGTAAAGAGAATATTTGTATCTAAACTTGGATTAATAGTTCAGTTTAGATGTTAAAAAAGCTATATTATTTTAAGACAATTGAAACCATCGATAATAGGATTTGGATAAAAGAGAATGTTAATAGCAAATCAGAAGTCATTTTGAAGTTGTTGAATTCTAATTTGGGTAGAGATACCTAGAAGAGATTTGTTATTAAGCTGTTTAATTAAGTTTGGAATGTGGTGTTGAAGTTGGATATCCCAGATAAGGGTATAATAAAATACTAATTGGTATAGTATGGCAAAGTTTAGTTTTGTGTTTGATAAGATTAATATGTTGTTGGAAGTTTTTGTTGCATGAAGATTAATTAAGAACAATGTTATGTATTCCGTACTCTAGAGTAGAGATAATAACAATGTTTATAATATAATGAGCTTGAGTACCTGTTATTTGTTTGGTGCTAGCAATTTTGGTAAGTTTAGATAATTTAGCCAGGATAAGTTGAGTTTGTTTAGTGTATTTGTTATTGAGTATATACCAGTAGTCTAAGAATTTTAAAAGGCTGGTATATAGACCAGAAAGAAAGTGTCATATTGTTAAATATAATAGAATTGTAGAAGTTGGGTTTGGTATTAGAAGATAAAATAGATTTGGATGAGTTAACTTGAATATTTGCCATATTGTAGAAGAATTCAGCAATAGTAAAAATGTTTATTAGCTCTGTTTGGCTTGATGCAATTTACAAAGTGTTATCCATGTAGGTCAAGACAAAACAGTTAGTTTCAAGTTTGTTAAATAAGTAGTTTTTGAGATTAGTTAGCCATGATATTAAAATTTTATAACCAGTAAAGAAAGAGTATATATATGTAATAAGTCGGATTGAGGTATTAACTTTACTCCTATCTTTTTTTATCAGCATGCTGTAAATCACTTCTAATAATGTTAATTTTAGATGTAGATTATCTTGTTTATTGGCTATAATTTTACTTGTAATCCACCACATTTCCTTTTAAGGGGAACAGCTAAAACCCGGTGCATTCATATGTTTTTGATTATTTAATTAAAATTAGGGTAAGGGTTAGTTAGGAGTTAGGGTTGGAGCAGTTCTTATAGGTAAAATCATCTTCCTGGCATTTTTTTTTAATGCTTCGAGACAGGTTTAGACACTCGTTTCTTGTATTTTCGGCGTTTTTTACTTTTTTTCTTTGTTTTTGTCTCGCCGGGTTTATCAAAATTTATATTTTGATTGGCTGTTAGTCACGTGAACGCACCTGGCTTTAGACGGTCCCCTTTTAAGTTAAAACAGAAAGGATCTTTATCAAATATTTTTATATTATTTTTATTTGATACAGATATCAGATACTATCTTGATATATCTGATATATCTGATATAGCGATAGCTCTCAAAAATTTTTTATCGTATTCGGGTTGTATTTATAAATTTTTAACTATCATGTGAAATTATATATGTGATAAAGGTTTCATGTGATAAAAAATTTGGCATGTAAATAGAACGTAATTTTAAGTACTGTATTAATTTCTAAATTTATATTATTTACAGTCTAACCTCGATATAATCACTAGCTTGGGAAACAAGTGACTATATAAAGGCCAAATTTCATATGTATTATTTATAAAATAGTGTGATTATATCAAGGTTGTGACTATATCAAGGGTGATTATAACGAGGTTAGACTGTATTTTTACTATTTTCGAATTGTAAATCGGAAAATAAAATAAGTTTCTTTGATTTTAATTTTGAAACCCAATGAATATAAAATTAAATTCAAATTAGGCAAGTTACTATAATGAAATAGGAATAATCTTTTCTTAATAATCTTTTAATTAATTCATTTACATAAAATTACTTTAACGTTAACGTTATTTTTAGTTTATTGGTGTACGTAGGTCATACAATTAACTCTGATTATATGCCACAGACAGTCTCTAACCGGGTTGACTTGAATCACGTATATTAATGCAGCCAGCCCATCATAAGTGCATATTGTAGTTAAAATGTCACTTATTTGTTATTGAAAGCGATTTACATAATTAACTTTTAATGTTACGTTAATGTTACATTAGAATTATTAAATGATGTGCATAATGAGTACGAATGCTTATAGGGAGTGGCACTTAGATAGGTCGAAATAAATTTTAGATATTGATTATCAGAGTTGCGTTTTACGATAATTATAAAAATTTAACTACTGTATTTGACAAAAGTTTCAATAAATAAACCGACATAACAAACCTAACCGATACTAGTAGAGAAGGTGGTTGTTCTGTTTAGGTGTTATTTGATATGTTTATAATTTCAACGTCGCGTTCGAACAAAGAACTAAAGTCTCAAAATTTCCCAATCGCCTAATCCAAATGCCTTCCCGATAGGTTGCCTGAATTAGTTTAGCTAAATTAAAGAGTGTCAATTTTTACTACTGTCCCTTACCAAAAACATTTTCTGACAAGAGTTCTATTTTACGGCTTACAATCGAAAAAAAATATATATAACATCTATCAGCTAAACGATCGAGATATTGTACAAACTAAATATCAGAAAGATTGTTACATTGATAAATCTAGTGCAGCATCGGGAAAATTAAAAGAAATATGTAAACACAAAAAAAAAAAATAAAATAAATTGAATTTATCGGAAAATTCCACGAAAATGAACTTTACATTAATAAAATATTACGTGTAACATCAAACTTTAATTACAGTAAAAGGTTTATAATTTTATACAAGATTAATTATGACGTAATAAATATATGAGTATATTATAAAATAGATCGTTATTAAAATATGATAATTCTGTAATTATTGGTTAAATTGGCTAAATATTGTGTGGTAAAACATTTCTTGCTATAGACCGTTTTCTTGGTCCAATATAGAATTATATAGTTAATATTTACAATACGCATGTGCGTATGTACATACGTGCATATCAGATATCAGATATGACTTGACGTATCATTTGTGTTATGAACACAAATCTGAGTGTATCATCCCAACATGATTGCCAATAACGAGTTAAAGTTAAATTAATGTAAGGTTAAATATTTCTATTTTGAGATTAATATTTGGAATCAGGGATTATATAACTTAAGTATTATAAAATAATTATTAATACGGAGCATCCAAACTAAATTTTTTTTTAATTTTCTTTCATATGCTTTTTGGTGCTCTTTGGTAGTGCTTATTACGTTTACGTTCCTTTATTCCGTTACGAGTACTTATTAAATTACAAAGATGACGACTCAATCGATCGCATGGTTTGAAAGTTCTATTTCAAAGCATTTCATTAATAAATATAACTATGATGATTTCTATTGTCGGATAATTGACAAAGTAACGCACGAAAAACTAAACGTATATGAATGGAAAAACCATAACCTGATAGTCGTTCATAAAAATTTAAAGAAAATTATTGAAATGAAAGAAATGGACGAAAAGAAAATTAAAGTGCTTGTTAAAGAGGTAATATTAATAATTTCAATTAATAATCTTTTTTTTTTCCTGAAAAAAAGCAAAGCACTGAGATTTATTATAAATCTTGTAGCTTCGTCTTTTACAGCAGGTCTGTAGTTTTCCGAATATTATTAAATTCTATGGGCTGACTAAAGGCATGTGCATAAACTTAATTAAATTTATTAAGGATGTTAACAGTCCGGTCTGGTTCAGTTGACTGTTTTTGGTCTGGTCCGGTCTATTATAATTTCCAGTCTTAAGACTTTTAGTCCCTAATTTTTTATAATATCTTTTAATTAATTTAACGAATTTTCAGATACGTACGGTGATTATTATATGGTTTTACAATATGCTGACGGTGGAAATTTACGTGAATACCTAGAACAGAATTTTTATGAAATGAAATGGACAGATAAATTACGTACTGCATCAGAAATAGCCCAAGGACTTATGTCTTTGCATGAACATAATATCATTCACAAGAGTCTTGTAAGTAGTTTTTTTTTTTTTTAAATAATAATATTTTAACGAAATTTATTAAATACTTTTGACATTTTATTTGTAGCATTCTAAGAATATATTAATTCATCAAGGTCAAATAATGATTAGTGATGCAGGACTAACAAAAAAGTCAAATCAAATAAAATACATGCCCGCATATCTTGAACCGCAATGTTTAAAAAAAAATTCTAATCATGAATTAGATAAAAAATCAGATATTTATAGTTTAGGCGTTATTCTCTGGGAAATTTCTAGCGGTACACCACCATTTCAATCATACAGTCCTTTAGAAATTGCTTTTTTTATATCAGACGGAGAGAGAGAAATTCCTGCAAAGAACACTCCTAATAGATATATTAAACTTTATAGTATTTGTTGGGATCAATGTCCAACTAAACGACCTGATATTAAAACTATTTGTGAAGTTTTAAAAATGCAATATGAATTAGCATTAAAGATTGAAAAAGCCTATAAAAATACAAATTATAATAATAGAAATAATAGAATAGTAAAGAAATCTTCGATGAAGTTCAATGACACCTTAATTAGTCAAGCATCTACGAAATCCAGTAACACCTTAATTAGTCAAACATCGACGAAATCCAGTGACACCTTAATTAGTAAAAATTCAATGAAAAAATCAAATGAGACCTTAAATAACAAAACTTTGATGAATTCCAGTAACACAGCAATTAGTAAATCTTCAAGAGAAACTTGTAACACTGTAATGATTAAAACTTCAAGAGATTCCAGTTACAGTTTAGTTAGGAAAGCTTTAATGTTATTAGACGATTCAAATGATTCAAATTTACCATTCGACGAAATTATTGTAAATGAAAATTTAAATAATAATTTAAGATCACAACCTGATAAACCTGATAAAGTCATTGCAAACGAAAACTTTAATAATGAAATAATTCATGAATCTTCAAAGCAACCAGATAAAATTATATCACAAAGTGAAACGTGCTCAATTTATGATGCTAAATCAATAGATGAATCAATTGATGAAATAACATTAATGGCTGATAGTGTCAGTTTAAGTGAAAGTTCAATTTATACCGTTCCAGAAATAGCAAATATACTTGAAGATTTTGAAAGTCATGATGTTAATGTACAGACAAAGTTTAAACTACCATTCATATTACCAGATTCTTTACTTACTGCAGCACATGCTGTTGAAATTGCTTCTTGGATTGATAATAATTCGCTCCCATATGATGTTGATAATATTCCTTATGAATTTAAACTAATTTTTAAGGGCAGCAAAAATGGGTTCACAGTTAGTGACTTTCATAAGATATGTGATAAAAAATCTAATACGGTTGTGGTAGTAAAAGTTAATGGATCAGATGAAATTGTTGGTGGATTTAATCCTCTTGAATGGAAATCATCTTCGAATAAGTATGCGAAAACTGATAAAAGTTTTATATTCTCTTTTAAAAACAATAAATCCACTCTTAGTCGTGTTAAAAATGCAAACAAAGCGATATATTATGATTGTGATTTTGGACCTTCTTTTGGTGGAAGTAATGATCTTTTTTTGGTTTGTAATTTAAATGTAAGGAATAAATGGTCATGTAAACATAAAAATTATAGCAAACCAATTAGAGAATCTGAAGGTTATTTCAAAGTAGATGAATTTGAAGTATTCGAAATATGTAAAAATCGATTTAACTTTAGTAAGTAAAATTGTTTTTCATACTTTATTATATATGAAGAATATTTTTACATTTACACTCTTTATATATATAAAAACATATAAACTCACTAGTTAGCTTCCTTATACGTTAACTCACATTATAGTATAATTATTTTTAAATACAATTATAGCAATTTTGAATAAAATAATTAAACTCCCACTTATTTTTAAAACAAGCTGGTTTTGAATCACTTTAATAAGAATTAATCAAAACCAAGAGAGGTTAAAGATACGTGAGCTATGAATAAATAAATGCTATAAAAGTAAAATTTATATATATTGAAAATGATTTCTTTTGGTGAAATTTTTATGGCTATTTAAGTAAGGCAATAATATCCAGCAATTACGCAAATTAAGCATATCGTATTTTGCAGAATACCGTACAAACACGGAGTAACGCGCGGGGGTTAAATTAAAATTCGACTCAAATTAAGCTTAATTTAGGCCGAAATTACAACCCTGCGTGTTATTTCAAGTTTATACGATAATATGCTCCCTTTAGCACAATACCTGTACTTCCCTTTTAATAATCTTGATGTAAAGGATCCCGATATGATGTATGGTTTATAATGTAAAAAAAATTGTAAAGTATCTGGATGTTATAGTCAGATGTGCACATAAAATTATTATATCCCGGGATTATTATTCTGCAAAATATAGTATTGACTATATTACAAGTGAAGTATATATAATGACTATATATTAACTTATGATTAATTTTAGGTTGATTGATGATCCTTATGTTTAAGTGCCACATACAGTAAGTTATATAATGAAATCCCAATTATAGACTATATAATGAAATTCCAATTATAGACTATTGTGAGTCCCAGAATGTAACACGAGGACCCGGTAATCGGTCACGTGAAAAATGCACGAAGTGCAATTAATTACATTTTGGATCGGGAATGGCATATTAGAT